ACTGTCTTCGAAACAAGCTCTTACACACACACACACACACACACACACACACACACACACACACACACACACACACACACACACACACACACACACACACACACACACACACACACACACACACACACACACACACACACACACACACACACACACACACACGCACACACGCACACACGCACACACACACAGACCACCTAGCTCTTATACAGGACCTATGGGAGTTTTAAATCAGGGATGTGCTCTTTCCCACTCCCCTTTTTTCACATCACTCAAATTTTCTCACATCATTTTGGCTTCTTCTTTCACGTTTCTCTCACCAGTCGATCTTTCACTCCACTGCCATTCCAACCCTCTCTCTCGTTCTCTATAATCCTCCCTCACCCTTTCTGTCTCCCCCTCTCTTCTCAGGGCCTTGAACACAACACATTTTCCGCGCCCGAGTTTTTAGCATTTCACCATCTCCCCACTGAACGCCTATTACTCAACCGAGCCAGGCCCACCGCACTTTGATGTGTGTGAGACCTCACTGGTGGATAAGTGCTGGTGTTGGTGTGTGTGTGAGTGTGTTTGTGCGCATGCAGCGGTGGTGTGTGTGAAAGCTTTGCAGGCTTGTCATGGGCGGGTGATTGAGTCCAGACGTTGCGGGTTTCTCTCTCCACCGCCGAACCCTCCCCCCTCTCCAGGTTGTGGGTTCAGAGTGTGTTGCGGCTCCCTGGGGTGCAGTAAAGTGATAGGGCAGTGCAGGGGGCTCGGATCGCCCCCGGAGAGAGAGGTCAGGGGTCGGAGTCTCGGCTCTGCAAGGGAGGATCGGGACCATGTTAGTCTTGCACGCTTCAGGTGGGGCCTTCCTGTGTTGCTGTGTGTGGGCGGGTGGGGGGTGCATTAGTGGGTTAACGCATTCTTCTTTCATTTCCCCTATAGAATGCTATTTATCATCAGTAACCTTTTCTCAAGTACTGTACTTAAATACAATTTGAGGGACTTTACTTGAGTATTTCAATTATGTGCTACTTTGTACTTCTTCTCCACTACAATTCAGAGGTAAAACATTTTTACTTTGCAGATCTGTAATGAAGATGTTAAATACAATCATCACTTAAATAAGACTAATTACACACCCTAACAATAACAAACTACCCTGCCTGCAGTATACAAAGTAATTCAAATGAGCTGCACCTTTACCAACTTTGATAAACACTTTAAAGCATCAATAATGTTGATAAAACATATGATATGCACTATATTATTGTGAAATGGCCCAATGTGCATAATGAGTACTTTTACTTACCTTAATTATATTTTGGTGCTATACTTTTATTAGACTTTTACTTATAACAGAGTAATCCTACACAGTGTTACTTTTGCTTTTACTTACAGTAAGTACAAGATCTGAGTGCTTCTTCTACGTCTGTTGATCATTTGAATGTGGTCTGCGTAGACCATTCAGGTCGGCTGCATTCACATGAAGGCCATTCAGACAATGTGATACAAACAGAACCACTTACAAGGTCTTTAGTTTTGAATGGCAGTGACTCAGAGCAAATTAACATTAATTCAACAGTACAGCAAATTAAATGTTCAATGGAAAGGGAAAAACGGCAACATAAGGAAGCAATTGTAGGGAGAAATATATTTATAAAATATGTCACATGATGACAAAAAAAGAAAACCTGTTCGTGTTGAACAATGTTTTTTTTATACTTACAGCGGTTTTGCTGTGCCTTAACATGTTTCACTTTATTTACTATGCAGTTAGCAATCTCATGCATTATAATTCAGGACTCATAAGAATGATGTGTTGACACAATGAGAAATGTTTAATTCGTCAACTGTCAAGGACCTTTCCACACTGTGGCAGCTCTCACTTAAATACCTCTGGTTGCACTGGTCCATTATAGGATATGTGTCTAGTCACTTGCATTAATATGAGGAGGTAGACAACTTTGAAGCTGTAATTATATTTAATAGCTATAGAATTGTGTAATCACCATATCATTCATGATAATGCAGTACAACAATAAAAAAAACCTGTCCCTTGCTACAAGATTCTCGTGATGGACTTTAAAGCTCCAATGCAGCCAACAGGGACCTTAAAGTAAAGTAAAACCTGAAGAGGCTGCTAAAGATAGAGAGAAGGGAATCCATCCTAGACAATAAAGACACGAAGGAAGCGTCAAGCCTCTCATGGAGAACTTTTTAAACTTCACCTTCCATCCCTAGCAACTCTCAAGACGGACGACAGCGAGGTCAGTCCGTCACCTGCGCTCAGACACTGGCCAAACACCGGCTCTGAGGCTGAATAATGGGCTGTCACTAACCCCTGACCCTCAGCTCAGAGTCTAAAGTGTCAGATCGATATCAGCCGAGCACGGCGAGCAGCTCGTCTGACTTGAGGGACGTTGGGCCGCTCGGAGGTTACACCGACTGTGTGCTCTGCAGGAGCGTCCGCATTAAGTTAAATTAAAAACTCATTATCATCATTATTTGTGTGTGCAGGGATCTGTAGCATCCTGCAAATTGTTCTTCAGTATATATGTCCGGCAGGTGCTGATGGGACATATTTTAGTGGGTTATTTTAACAGGACCCGCGCTGGGCCTCTGGGAGTTATGTGGCATTAGGGGTGGTAGAGGAGTACGTGTGTGTTCCTGTGTCTGGGGTCATGTATATGCGTGCTTGCATGTACAAACCTGCTCATTCCCAACTAGTCAAATACGGCAGCATCGTCATGGCCCTATGCGGCAAGCTGTGAGCATTCACGTATCCCTCTAGCTTCCAATAAGGATGTGCAGTGCTGCCTTTATTGACGGTCGTAATTATGATGGAAGTAAAGGAGGAAGTCAGGTGACGTAGGTTGAGCAAACACAGTATCTTTCCCATGTGAAACCAACTCATGGTATCTGACATTTATGAGCATTAGTTATGTAAAATACTTAAGTTAAGTAATGTACTCACGTCTCGTACCTAACGCGCCGAATGAACTTGTGTCCATAACTTAGGGATAACCTTAACCCTAATTGTACAAACAAACTTATATTCAAACCCAAACCATGATGCTTTCCTAATACCAAGTTGTCCATAATGTACTAAAACGTTACCATACCATAACGTACTTAACTTGCGTCATGTACCAAACATACATGTACGCAACATAACGCTAACATTTTGTTCAAGTCTAACGGACTACATTGTACTTTAAAAGATGGCACTAAAAGGCACTCAGTTGGTTTAAAACTGACGCCTAGGGTTCCTAGTACGTTTGTGCAGTGTTGGGAGTGGCGTTAGTACCCTTATTTACTTAAGTCATGCCATGTACCTCACGATCTTATGTCACATACGTTACGTTACTTAAACCATGTGTTTGTCTATGCCTAAAGGGCTACATAAAAAGATTGCGCAAAAGGGTCCTTAGTGCGTAAGTTGTTCTTGTCAAGCTTCTGTTTGTAAAGTGTTGGGATGGAAAGTGGTTTAGCAGGTATTTGTTTGTCAAAAGATGGCAGTTTCTGTGGTTGGAACATGTGCTGTAGTAAACTGCCGTCATGGCAACCCGGGCAACAGCCATCTTTGGCACAGAGGGGGTTTATGACTCGTTATGTGGGCCCCTTGGGGTTTTACACTGACTGAATGACTGAACCCTGCTGTGCGTGAGTGTGTGTGTTTGTGTGCGTGTGTGTGTGTGTGTGTGTGTGTGTGTGTGTGTGTGTGTGTGTGTGTGTGTGTGTGTGTGTGTGTGTGTGTGTGTGTGTGTGTGTCTGTGTGTGTTGTTGACTGACACTAACCCCGCTGCTGTTGCTGCTTTGACCTTTTTGACACCAGAATAGCGTTGCGAGTAATTAACCTGCCTCATCCATGTTAGGCAGAGGAAGACTCTCTTGTCGGACTCAGTCCTCAGGTCCAAAATATTCATCTTAAAGGGTCACGTCACTCAGATCTCAGAGTCTGATAGATGTTATTGAGGGAGTAGACACAATGGTCAGCTGATAATACTAGGTTAATGGGAAACAACATCTCAGATATTTAATAATAAGCAAGTTGTTTGTTTCTTTTCACGCTTTGCTTTTGGGCCCTAGCGTTTATGTCATCAATATGAATGACTGGACAACTGTTTAAGTACTCAGTGTGAGAAACCTTTGCAGAAAAATAAAACCAGTTTTGTTCGGCCGCATATACAACATTTGTTCAGGGTACAATTAAACTCGGACACACTTTTTCCAAAACGAAATCTCTTGAGTACTTTTTTTATATGGGGCTTTTCTTCTACTTCCTCTTTTCTTTTATCTGCACTGCGCTGCACTTTCCCCCAAGAAACATGTTCGGCAACCAAATGATGGACCCATAAACTAAAGCCTTACCTCAGTGCTTGTTTTCGGAAAAAACATTTAACGTTCGGAAATGTCTTTGTAGAAAACATTGCTATATTTTTCGAAGTACGGTGATTGAAGAAAGTCTTCTTTTGTCCGCTTCCAGTTTTCCTCACAGCCTGTACTAGCACACAATACACCAAGGCAACAGGGGCTGATTTGCGAGAGACTACATGAAGCTATGCATAAGGCGTTCTCTGTGTGCATGGACTCACTTAGCCTGGCACACAGCGGGTCTGCAGCTGCACCGAAGGACGAGTTAGCGATTGGCACAGTCAGGACCACCAGGATCATAAACAAGAGCGTCATCCCGCTTCCTCTCTCAAGCCCCAGTTTCATTTTTCAACCATCCGAGGTGCCTTCCCACCAGCAGCAATGTGTTTCCAATCTGAGGTCAATTATTCACCTCCCCTGGATTTGTTCCCAGCAGAAAAAAGAACCCCAGAAACAGAACTGTCTTTACTCTACAACAGGCTCCGTTTTCCCCATCCCTCCGCTGTCAACGCCCAGTCTTACCGAGCCCCCTGGCAGACACATTATGTGTTTAAATGTGTGTATTTGTGAGTCCACGGACAGATGTGTGTATGTAATTAGCCAACTAAATAATAATGGCTTAAACTTCCCAGCGGCGGAAAGCTATGAATGATGGGACAGGTGGAGGGAGGGTGATGGAGACCTCCCAACCCCGAGGGCAACAGGATGGACAGACCCCATTTGGTGACATCACAGGCCTGATGATCACCCCTGTTGGCCCCCTAAAGAGTGCCCCCCTAGAGGCTGTTTTAAGGAACTACACCCTCAATGTTGTGTAAAAGGGCAGTTAGTGCACATGGGTTTGTGGAGGAGTAAATTGAAGGACTTGATATAGAAGCAGCGTGAGGTCTGTGGTTTGTGTCCTTCAGTGCAGACACAAGCGTGTGTGTGTGTGTCTGTGTGTGTGTGTGTGTGTGTGTGTGTGTGTGTGTGTGTGTGTGTGTGTGTGTGTGTGTGTGTGTGTGTGTGTGTGTGTGTGTGTGTGTGTGTGTGTGTGTGTTTTAAGACAGTGTGTTTCTGTGGGCTGAAAGCATCTCCTCTTTTCCGTCTTTGTGAAATAACCCTGGGAAGCTGCCCCTTGTCTGACCCAACAGTGTTCATAAGGAAAACAACAGGAGGGCTTTATCCTCTCCTCCTCCTCCCTTTTACTTTCCTCTGCCCTCTGCATTCCTCTTCTTCCGTGTCATTTTTTGCTACTTTTCTCACTTCTCCTATCTGCTCTGTGACACTCAATCTTGTTTTGTTCTTCATTGTCTTCCTATGAATGTTCTCTTTTTCTGTCATTCCCTCCTTGTATCTTGTGCTCTTGTTTCCTCTCCTTCACCCACATGCTTCCTTTCTCCTTCCTTCCAATCTCTCTTCTCTTCCCTCCTCTTTTCCCTGACAACCCCCTTCTTTCCGCTGGTTCTCTCTTTTCTATCCCATACACCAGTTTGACTTTCACATTATTTTCTTGCTTTTACTACTTTTCTACTCTCTACTTATTTTTTACTTTTGTCCCCACTTTCTATTCATTTGGCTCCAGTTCTCTATTTTCTATTTGTTTTATTTTCTTTGAAAGGACCACAGGTTTATAGCTAACTCAGCTAACTTTTCTTCAGCTATACCTTCCCCCCCTTTACATCTCCATATTATTCAGGGCCGTGGCTACCTCAAAGAAAACTGAGCTCTAATCCTTTTTTCTAGAGATTTGGTTAACAGTTTTAAACCTAGTAAATATTTGCAACTATCTCTTTTTAGGACCATTTTAAAAAGCAAAACAGATTGAAAGAAACGTTTCTTGAAGCTAAATATGATGCATATCATCACGTTCCTGATCAAAGTCCAGCAGACATGTGCAGTATTTCTTTAGTTTAGTTTTTCTCTTTCATGAAAACAAATTAAATAGTTCATACATAAAGAATTCAAATATGTTCCGGACAATGCAAAGAGAACATTTAACCCTTTAGACTTATTTTCTTAAGTTTAATGTACAGCAAACTAAGACAAAGGACAGTTTATGTAGTTGAAGAGTAGATAAGCACTTGTTGAAAACTAACATTTTAGTAGGAAATTCGAAAGGAGACTTTCAGCCATAGGTCCTTTCTTTCACTTCCTTTCTTTCACCTACTTTCCTCTACTAGCTTTTACTTTCTTACACTCTCTTGTCTTCTTCATTCTTCTCGTCTTCATTCTCTCCCCTATAATTCAACCAACAGCAGCCCTCCCTTCTCTTCTCTCCTTCCTATTATCTGTCTTTTTCCACTTTGTGTGTTTCCCCCTATACTACCTCCCCCTGTCCCTTACCTGTGCCAGGCCACAGAGCGACAACAACACAACAGAAGGGGATAAAGAAAGTAAACAAGAGGAGGGGAGCTCAGTGAAAAGAGGGATTATCCCTAAATGTGTGCTTTGTTAAGAGATCCAGTTACTGATTGATTGATAAGCCCCTCCAACTGGCCGTGAGTAATTGAGCCAATCAGGAATAATTTATCCCCGCGACAAATGGATTCGGGATTAAGGTGCTTTTATTTTGGTAACGGCTCATGACACATTTTAACTGCTGGAGTATGCTCTTGTTTTGTTTTTGTGGTCTTCCTGTTTTCAAAACCCCCGAACTGTCAATCAGCCTTGAGCGCGTCCTGCTGCTATGAAGAATACAAATGTTGAAATTGCCCGTGAAGGCTTAATGACTTGCTAAGGAGCCTGTAACAACAAGGCCATTTAGAAAAACTGATGAATAAATCTGGCTAGGAATGAATAAAGAAACCTTGATGAAAATTAGGAGTACTAACGGTTTATAGCTTGGTAGATAAATAGTTTCTCACTTCAGTCAGGTCTAGTCAAGTCTTATATAGATAGAGATCAGTAGGAGAAAGTCTCTGGCCCTCAAAAGGCAAAACCATTAAACATCCAGAGCTGAAATGTCATCTTATTCCAGAACATCTTGACTCAGGCTGTGTGTTTATGGTCTTATCAATATTCCAGCCCTTATGGCCTCCATGTGGCAAACATCTGGATCATCTCCGCTCTCACTACGCGTTTTATCATCCTTTGTAACAAACACCTACAGTCCATATTTAAGATTTAGGATGTCTCTTTGCCGCATATGTTTGGCCACATTTGACCCTCTTCAGAACTGCCATCCAAATCCATCTCTGGTGGAGCCATCATACATCGAGAGGGATAATAAATATCCAAGGAAAGAATGTGAAACTGATAGCCCAAACTACATTTGCAGATACTCAGGGATGCTTTGGTTTTAAAAGGAGACAGCCGTAGACTTAACCCCCAGCCACAGGTGGCTGAGAAATATTTGTATTGTTTTTTTTCTTTAGTCATGTTACGCCTCATTTACTCCTTCTTGTCCCACGCTGTTTCCCTCCACAAATAAGCCCTGTGGCAAAAAAGAAGTATGTTGTTCATATATTATGTTAAGCAAGATAGTCGTAACAAATGGACATGGAAGTAAAAAGATATTGCAGTGACTATTAAACAAACTAAACAATGGTCAACCATTGTTGTCGTATTTATTCGCGTTAGGGTTACACGTAAAAGCTTCAAAATGTCCAAGTGCGGTAATAACTGATATATTTCATGATCTATTCTTGAACGTGACGTACAAATCTTCATAGCTCCTGTTCTTCACCACAGTCCTTTTTTCCCGAAATAAAATAGAAACTCAAACCCTGCCTGATCTTATCTTAATCGTTAATATTTGCTATTTTTTCTTGTTATGTTATTCTTATTGCCTCACTTACTGTACCTGGAAATGGTAGCAACATAGATCCATGTATCCAATGTTGATTTTTTTTGGGAAACTGAATTCTATTTGCGTCAAAAACAATTCATTATGAACCTTACAAAAGGTGTAGACTGTAAAAGCCTAACTGCTTGAAGCCTAAGTGTTTGCTGATCTGTTCTGCTCCGAACCATGTTTATATTTCTATTGAGTGCAGAAGTGAAATCCGATGAGCGGTGGTCACTGGAGACTGATTTGAGATGCGTGTTGATGCCTGGATTAAACGCTGTCAGACACAATCAGGATGTATCTGAATACAAGTATCTGACCATGGTTATCATCACTTCCCTAAACTTATTTCCCTAACAAAGGCTTTAGTTACAAACTCTTCTTAATCCCAACTAATCTCGTCCGGTACTCCTGGGTCAGGTTTGATTGACAGCCGCTGACAGTCGTGAGGTGGAAGCCAACATTTGAGGCTTAGAAAAGACACGGGAGGACAAAGCAGGCTACCCAATAGCGCTCCTGGCTGAGGACATGATACCATGGAGCCGGTTGACCCCTGGTAGTCATAATAACAGCAAGCAGCTCTGAAACTAGAGGCTAAGGAAGGCCATGCTGTGCCTGCCTGGAGCCGGAGCGCTCAGCTGGTGCTGAAGGGGCGGAAAAAGAAGATAAAACAAGGGCTTTGGTTTCGCGTCTGACCAGACTATAATTAGAGAGAGAAAAAGATTAGAATATGGCATAAGACACCCCGCTACACACATCCGCTCATGCAAACCCAGTAGGACGGCTACTAATCCTGCAGCACATTTACAATATGTGTAACGACAACATGATACCCCCAGCCGGCCCCGCACACACCTCCCTTTATGCTGCCTCCCGAGAATCACAGCGCGTATGTGTCAGAGGCAACAGCTGTGTCTCAATCCCTCCCTCCTCATTTCACCTGGTCTCAGATCAGCTGACAGGTACTCGAGGTGTAGCATCTGATCTGTGGCAATCGAGGCCCCCGTGGAACGTCAGGGTGAAAAAAAACCTGCGGTGCTTCGGCGAGTTCACCCCGTATCGGATCATCATCCGTCTGCATGCTCCACCACGATCTCCGTCCTGGCTCCCTTGACGGCCCTCACTATGTCAATGAACAGAGGTGGAGTATTGAAGACATCCGCAGTATGTCAGTGATACCGAACCGTGGGCCATTAGCAGCTACGGAGACACAACCCGGCCTGCCGTCCAGGCCTAATCTGTCTCTGCTAAAAGCCTCACAAATGCAACGTTATACAGCGCCTATGGGAATATGTGTTTCCAATCACTCTCTTCAGGAATACCTGGCATTTCTCTCTCCCTCCTCCTGTCCGATCGTTTTACAGTAAACACCAGGCGCAAAAAATCTCGGGGCTGTTTTGAGGAGAGGCTTTGAGAAACCAGTCCTCATTTTCCCAGACTCAGAGATTCCACGAGGGGCTCCTCCATCAAGCTGTCATATCGGGCTAATGAAAATCTCATTCTACAGAGGGATCCTCTTCAAGCTGCTAAAGGCACATGCTAACCAGGGGATTAGCCCTGTAACGCAAGGGGACTTTAATTTCAGCACCAGCATAAGTCATCGTCATTGCTGAGCTCTAACATTGATATATGGCTTACGACACACGCTAGAGGTTTCTGTGTTGCAAGGGGAGACTGTTGAATCTCACAGGAGCCTCGGGATGATTATGAGTGACATGATGAGATCAATCAATCAATCAATCAATCAATGTTTATTTATATAGCCCAATATTACAAATGTTACATTTGTCTCAGTGGACTTCACAGTTTGTACAGAATATCAGTATGACAATACGACACCCTCTGTCCTTGGACCCTCATGTCCTTGGACCCTCACATCGTACAAGGAAACACTTCCGGAGAAAATCCCACAGTTTAAAGGGGAACATGGGAGAAACCTCAGGGAGAGCAACAGAGGAGGGATCCCTCTCCCAGGACGGACAGACGTGCAATAGATGCCGTGTGAAAAGATAATACATTTGCAACATAAGTAGTCCAAATGTTTGGAAATGCATGTGTGTATAATAAGAAGATGAAAACAAAAACCAGAGCCGTAGCCCGGACGCGTCTTTCACACCATTTCACATATGGGACATTTTGTCTCAGCTGTGGCCTCGCTAAGATACCCTGAGTATCATCTCGTTGAGCACTCACAAGTCTTTGGAGAACGCGTCGTTGTGGAGCGTAATGGCGAGAAACTCCCCATACAAATCAATGAGTAACTAGCCTCCCACTTAAGCAGCTGCTGTCAATGTACCCTTAAGCAAAGCGCTGTATCAAGGGATCTGGATGTTAGAAAACACAATGCAGGCTGCAGCAGAAAGCATGCATGCTCAGCATATTTCCATTGGGTAAATAAATCATTAAAAAGGGTCACGAGCAGGTGTTTTATGATGGTATTGTGGGGATTGTCTTGCATAGATAAACAATAAACATGTAGAACAATCACCCTCCCATTATAGATGTATCATGTTAGTATTATTGCTGACATTCAGAAAACTGCCCACTCTGTGTATTATAACCACAATCAAATTGAGTCCTGTAAGCACAAGTGCCCGTATGTTTCTTATTATGTTTTTCCTTGATGTGCCTTTAAGATTAGACTTAAAAGAAAGGCACATTGTGTGTGTGTGTGTGTGTGTGTGTGTGTGTGTGTGTGTGTGTGTGTGTGTGTGTGTGTGTGTGTGTGTGTGTGTGTGTGTGTGTGTGTGTGTTCTTAAGGGCCAACAAATGTTAATGAGATAAGATGATTTTTTGATCTGTCTACATACATGTAATCTCTTGCCTTTTTTCTGCACGAGTTTCTAGCAGTAAATCAATGGAATAAATTGAAGCCGTTGGCAGGAAAGGGTATTGCATAACGCATGTGTTGATATGTGTGAAACGAAAAGGGCACCCACACATGAAAACGCTCCGCAGCGGTACTAGTGGTCAAAAACTTCATAGAATACCTCAAATAAGGACTTTAGACTTCATTTACATCAGACTTGTCATACTTAACTTAAAAACCAAAAAAGGTGTTACCTGTAAATGTACAGCTTTGTAGGAAAAACATTTAATGTGTAATATTATCGGCGCTTACAGACCTGAAAGACTTCCAACTGACTTGTTCTTAACTGAAGAAGACTTGTGGGACTTTTTTCACTCAGATCTGATGTTTTTCTGCACAACAACATATTCAAATTCCTTTCTTTCTGTCTTTCTCCTAAAGGTTTTACCGGGGTGATTACCACATTGACGTCTGCATCAACGACTACCTGGACGTCTACTGTCCACACTACATCGTCCCAGTGTCTGACGATCGAGCCGAGCGCTACGTCCTCTACATGGTGAACTATGACGGCTACAGCTCCTGCGACCACACCGCCAAGGGCTTCAAACGCTGGGAGTGCAACCGGCCTCTGTCGCCCAACGGGCCGCTGAAGTTCTCAGAGAAGTTCCAGCTCTTCACCCCCTTCTCTTTGGGCTTTGAATTTCGCCCCGGCAGAGAGTACTACTATATCTGTGAGTATGGTCTTACCTCTTTGTGTTATTTGCAGAAAGGATTGTGCCTTCGGTACTGATTGAAATGCATATAGAGTATCAAATACGTGTCTACTCAAAGTTGCTAAAGAATATGATGTCAGATATTTTAACCTTTTGGCTAAAGAAATAAGTTTAGTTTTCTCAAAGCAGGGTAAAAAGTTGTGGTATTAGGACTGATCTGGTATCAGCACTAGCGAATAAAGATGTATATACTGTAATGACATCCAGCCGTTTAACTAGAAGTTATGTCAGAAAATCAATACATTTCTCATCTTAGAATCTTGCAAAGACACAGCAACAAAGTTCTGGTTTTGTTTTGCAAGTGCTTGGAATGAGAGGCCAAGGCAAAATACAAGCCGGAGGGAGCAAAACATATCTTGTGTTGAGGTCTCGCCTGAAGTGTCTTTTTTTACCGACCGGCTGAGCTCAGCTTTCTCTTCCTCGTGAGAAGAGCGAGGAAAACAAACAGCTGGGAAGTCATGTTTTTATAAGTGAAGTCAATGCCCTGCAGGGGCAGAAAAGAAGGACTAAAGGAGATACAGTGCTCTCCATGGTAGATTTTGGGGTATTTAGCCCACAGTGGTCCTAAGAACTGTGTAATGGGAAGAGAAAGGGGAGTACAGCCTTGGCACAAAAACAAAGTACAAAATAAAGTTTGAGAATCCAAAGATACCGGTGACTGGATAGGGGAAGTTTGAACAAAGTGTCTTGTTTTGGAGTAACTTTTCAGCCTGACTTTTAGACCCAGGAGATGTTTTTTATTTAATGCAAATCAGAATGTGGTATCTTTGGAGCATTATCTCTCCCTTTAGTGACCTCCAGTAATACCTCAAATTGAGTTCTGTAGGATTGCATTGAAGCCCGCTAGAGTTTAAAATCTCAAGGAAGATTTTTCACTATAATTTTCTATTGTTGTTGATGATAAAATACCACCCACGGGAGAATTCTTCCTCCTCCTCCTCCTCCTCCTCCTCCTCCTCATGTCATTCAACACTTGATCTCACTGATCTTGGACGGTGCTACAAACGAGCATCTGGGATCACACGATCATTAAAGTGATTGTCGTCATGAGACCTAAATCAAAAGCTGTATTTTGGTTACAGTATTTTGTGTGATGATGTATTACCCTTCACTAGCTGTGTCTGCTTGATTTCTGTGTCTATTGGCTAGTCTCCTTGTCTCCATTGCAAACACGTGACGGTATTGTTTGGGGTAGTTGTCTTCTGCCAGAGAATTGTTGACGTTGTCGCAACTCTTTGGATGTTGATAAGAACAGTCATAGATTTCCTAATCCGGCTTGATTTGTTAAGTTGGCTCCGGCTGATGTAATATTGAGTGAATACAATGTTCTTGCGGGTTTAGATCATGATTGATCTTCCAGAAAGAAAAGGCGGAGAGACAGTTCATATGGCCTCAAGCAGTTTGTGGCCATATGGACCATCTCTCGCTGACTCACATCATGACTCATCCATCAGATCCTTGTTCACTGAAGACACTAATGTTCCCTCTGAGAACAGGGGATCTGAGAATAGAAAGCCATATAACAAAAGACAAAGAAACCTCCGGAGAGATATGAAGGCCTTATGGTTACAACAATTCACATAAAGCCCATGTTTGTATTCAGATTCTACAACGAATAGAAGCTTCCAGAATTAGGTATACCAATGAATTCCCATTTGAAAGTATCCTTTTGATCCACGTAGAAACACTTGATCCCTCTGGGTTAAACTGTTGATTTATGTGGCAGACATTAGGTAAATACACTACTACTTTAAAGCAGATGTGTATCTCTAGTAGTAGTAAGAGTTACACTGTGTAATGTTATATAGAAAAAAGTAAAGAGCTGTATGAATATCTTTAGATTCAAGAAAATGTATAACGAAAAATATTAAGACAATATGACGATGTCAGGTAATCAGATGTTCTAGCGTTAAATTAATTAGTTTTAATGTTACTGTAAGCATTGGATGCCAAGCACCTGTGATTGACAGACCATATGTATTTGACAGGCAAGTAAACATTTTGTGAATTGTTTTGTCTCCATTGTCCTGAGTATAACTCATCAGTATAACTCATTTAAATAAATAACTCAATAAGGCTATATAAGTATATCGGCTGGTCAGAGTGCCATGCTTGTGTCTAAAATATATCCCTTTGTTGCAAAACTCTCACAAGCTGGTAAAGGTTAGCAAAGGCCCTGGATTAGACAGAAAGCATTCATTTACAAATCATTTAGAAAAAAACAACCTTGACAGCAACATTTTTCTTCTTTCTTGATTTTGTGATTGCTTACAGTGTATCATTTAATCGCTCAAATACTTTCCCAATGAGTCTTTCTTTGAGCTTTGAATTTTATTTTGGTCACACATGAAAAGCAAATTTTCCATTTGGTTTCTTTTCCATCCATTTATTCCCGGCAGCATCATACACATCCGGAAATGCTGTTTGTGTTACAGTAAAGTGTCAAATCACACGTCCACTGTCTCCTCCACTAACAAAGCCCGACAAAAGCAGAGTTGTATCGTATGGTTTTGGAATCTGTTAAGTGGGCATGTAAATGACACATTGGAGGGGGTTTCATGTGTGCTTGTGTCAGTGAAGACAGACACTCCTTTGTCCTCTATGGTGATCATGGTCCGCCGCAGGCAGGGAGGGAAAGAGAGGAGCGAGGGGGGGCCACGTCAAAAAGATGACACCTGCAGTTGGCTGAGGGCCTCGGTAGACAGACAAACACCCGGAGGAAAGCCACCCCGGTGTGGGATCAGTCCTGCGGCTGGTCCTAGGAGGTGAAAGGTCACCAGGATGACGGCGAGGTCTCCGCTGCGAGCTTCTCGTGGCCGTCAGAGGGCGGCATGTTTTTCTAATAGAGCCTCGGTGGAGCGGGGAAAGCCTGATCCTAATCTCAGGGGATAGAAATCCAATTTTCAGAGGAGACAGTTGAGAGTCTGGCTCTCCCTGTGTGAGAGAGAGGACTGTCTCCCTGTAAAGCCCTCGTGCTTCAAACGCCCGGCCCCGCTCCGTACAGCCAGTGCAGATCTACATCGATAATGACATGAACCCCGCCAGCACTGCTCCCCGGCCACTTTCCCTTCAGCTTCTCGCGGCTGAAGCGGAGACAAAGGGCTTTGTTCCCTAAGATAAACCGATCATCGGAAGAAAAACATCTGATCCGACAGAATTTAATTCAGGATCTGTCTAATTCAGCTCACAGTCACACCAAAGCCAGGCCTTCCTCAGGCACGCCAGCCGCTCTCTGTGATCATGTACTGCCAGTACCGAACGTGCGAATATCACCAGTCATGCATCACCTGACCGAACGTGTAACATGTGTCTGAGCGTGTGACCGGGAGTTTTACCGTTGTCAGGGCGACGCGGGGGCGGCGGGATGACCCGGGTTTAGAGTTGCAGGCGGAGATGGGGTTACAGTCCCCGGTGAAGCACGGCTGTGTTGCTCGAGGATAGAAAAGCCAGTCTCTGACCTCAGCGGCAGACATGAGAGAAAGGAAGAGAGACAGTTGGGTAATTGTGTGTCTGCATTTAGGAAGGGATGGTGGTACAGGGGGGGATGAGAAAGTGAGATGAGGGAAAAAGACAGTGTGACACAAAGCCAGAAAAAGATTAAAAGGGTGAGAAATAGAAAAGCAGAGCACTTAGATTTTTGTAGTGACGTGAAAAATCTGACTTTCCAGTCGAAACTTTAGAAAAATATTAAGAAAATCTGTAAACAAATTATACAAATTATTTATTTTCGATTTAATTTATTAAATGTGTTTCCATATACAGTACATTTACTTTGCATATGTGTGCATATCTTAGATATTTAACTTCCAAAAGCTTCTAAAACCAAATATTTAAATATGCTCCTTTTAGTTTCTGGGATGCAGCCATTTGTCCTTAAAAAGAAAATATAATGATTTATTAAAAAAAATAAAAAAAAGTAGTGCCATGTATCTCAATACTGCATACTTTGATAAAAACCAAAACAACTCAGCTAAACAGTTTGACAATCTCTTGAAGTTTTTTCAGATTTCCAGGAAAATAAATTCAAAATGTCCTTTCACAAAAGGGTTGAACACATGTGCTACTGTCAGTCTTCACATTAAGAAAGCTAGATCAAAGCAATAACAATATGTCCATAAGAGATAATGCATGACGAGGTCCCCGATATCTGACACCCCAGGGTGCATTATCCTGCTTATACCATGGTGGCTTTCCAAAGGAAAACAAGAGCAGCTGCCTTTTATTGAAATTGTTTTTGGCCTTTCTAACATCTACAAAAAACAACTGCAGCTACTGTTACTGTATGTCATAATACGTTACGTCTCTGTACGCAGAAAAGACTCTGCAAAGGCTACTGGGGTCTAAATCTTACTTCTTGTCCCATGCTGATTGGCCAGAAAATGTACCTGTTGCACCGAGAGCGAAGTCTTGAATCATGACATACAATACTGTGTTTCTGTCAAGGATAACTTAATGGTGCATAGCAGGACTTAACACACAAACCTCTGCTTGTATTTAGGCGTTAGAGCAATAAGCTATTCATAGACATAATTGGAACAGTTTGTCACAGCGGCTGTTAACATTGATTTCAATATGTTGACATTTAAGTTAACACATACAGTCAGTCTGTTTTAGGTCTGGGTTAATTACATTGTAGCGGGATACATCTATGGTTGCTATAGGGACCTTAATATATCCTGCTCACTGATTTAATTACTGTGATTTAAAAACAACACAAACTTTCTCAGGCTGTTGGCTACAGGCCTATAGAAATATCTATCAAAACTAAATGTGTCACCAAAAGATGAACCCCTCAAGAAAAGTCATTTTTCAATCCAAAATAAAGATTTTACTCCTTTCTGAAATGTTACAAATTGATACATTTCTATTTGATATCATTGTAAAAGTATTGAGTTTGGTTTATAAACCATCAGTTGAACGAAGAAGGCAATTAGAAGACGTTTACTTGAACTTTTGATGGACATATTTTACTTTTTTTGACTTTACTTTAAATGCTTTTTTGTGCAACCAGTGCCTTTATTTAAGTGACATGCAGGATTCGAACCCCTTGCCCTTCGCTAGGGGACAAATCCCCAGTACATGCCACTGCTTTTTTGTTTACATTTAATGGAGTAATTGATCAATCCTTTAATCTATAATTGATTAAGAGATTATTTGACAGCCATAATCATTGTTAGTTGAAACCATAATAATCCACTTATAAATAAATGAAACGTCTTGGATAAGAGCCTGGGACAATAGTTTCTTTGTGCAAGATTAGACTTTATACAGCAGTTAAAGTAAGTCAGAAGGAGATAACAACAGTCGTGGAAAGAGAAGTAGCATGAGAGGCGTAGAGGGAGACAAAGACGGGGCTTCTGGCCAGTGGAGTTCAGACACAGAAACTGAGACAGTGAGTGTGAGGTAAGTTACTGGATACCCGCTGACACAGACAGAAGCAGCGAGATTGACACTGATTCTCTCGTTTATTTCCTCCCTCTGCTGCTTCATTTCCAATCCCGCTCTCATGGTGAGGTCTTAAAGATGATTTTTATCTCTTGCAGCGGCCGCATGGCATCTGATAAAGTGGCTTTTGAAATAAGAGACATGAGAGTCATGGGCGACAGTGGAAACTCTGACATGGTTTACTTTTATCAGGATTCACCGCACGGAAAGAATCCATCACACGGAGGAGGGATAGATGGGTGTCTGTGGACAAACTACGGCTAGTCTTTGCTCAAATGCAACCACAACTACAATACATACATGCACCAAAACACACAGTCAGGAACACCCTCCAGGTTGTGTTTGTGGCGAGATTAAGAGCAATTTGAGAGACTCTGCAGGCAGCAGGAAATGACAGGGGTCAGAAGTGCTGTGGCCCAAGAGGAAAAGTCTGAAAAACAAAAAAGGAAAAATCTATATTGGGATGAACATAAGGTCAGGCATAACGTAAAAATGTTCAGACAGAAGTTGAAGTCATTCGTCACAGCTGGAGACACCCTCAGCGCTCGGTTGGCGACTCAGTCCCCTGCACTGGTTGAAAACTAATTAGTTTTGTTAGCTCTGCAAAACAATCACAGCACAAAAATGTTTTAATCACTGCAGGAAACAGAGAAAATTCGATTTTGCAGGTGGGCATAACACAGCATGCCACTCACCTGCAGAAGTAACCGCCCCTGGTCAAATTACACCTGGGAATATGAGGGTGACATTGAGATGTTTGATAGTGTAAAATATGGAGCTGAAAGGCAGGATGAGAGGGGGATTCAGGAGGTGATATAAGGCTCTTCAGACTGTATTTAAAGGAGATATTTGTGGAATAGCTCGAGTGAAACAATTGACCTTGTCTGATTGTTCGTTTCTAGGACGGTAGGTGTTAGAGTGAAGAGGTCTCAGGTGAAGTTGTGAATGGAATGTAAATGGGGAATATTGAATGGTTTTGCAGATGGACCACAAAACGTAAGCTGCAATCAGACTAGACATTCAGTTCGCCTTGGTCATTTGATTAGTTTGCTTGGTGCCTGGTATCATCATCCACAACTCTTGATAACGGAAAACCAAAAAGATTGGGTTGAGTCAAGACATTCCATGCCATGAAAATATTGTGGTTGAATGAAAGAAGACTTTGAAAGTTGTCAAATTAGGCCAATTAAGGGTTAGTTTGAGGTGAAATGTACTAAATATAGTTTGTTGGTTATCTTTTATATGGACTTGGCTTATATGGCTTGGTCTGGCCCCATTGGTGTCAATTCTGAGTTTCGGTATTTATACCAATACACTTTTTTTCCCCTTACCTTGACAAATATAAACACATTTTTCTCAAGACCCTTTTTTTATTGAACAAAGTAGCTGAAGCCTTGGATGGTACAATCTAAAAATAAAGTAGCCTTTTGCACCTACTAATAAAACATTCTGAATGTACTACTGAAGCTTTTTTAATGCTAATGCAGGAGCATTTAGAAGGCTTTGGTTTATTGACAGCTAATGTACCTTCTTGCTTTTTTGACATGGTTTTATGCATGGTTTTTGAATGCTTTGGATAAAAGCGTCAGCTAAATGAAATGTATTGTGTGATGGAAATGTACTAAAGGTTAGAGGGTGCAATGCTGCTGTAGTTTCATTTAAAGGTTTGTACACTAAAACTGTTTTCTCAATGATGTGTGTTTTGTATAAAACTGCCATTCAAACCATAAACACAAAACCCTAGATGAGATCAAGGAAGTTTGAAATGTTAGAGTCACGTGTTCAGAGTTGTTTGTTTCTGACTGTCTAATGTCTCCACAGCCTCCATCACTGACGAGAAAGGAAGACGGAGCTGCCTTCGCCTCAAAGTCTTCGTCCGGCCTCAGAGTGAGTCTCAGATCGTTGAGTCTTCTCTGCTTTTCAGTCCTCCACCACCTTGGGATCAGGCATTAGACTAGTGACGTTTGGACTTCTCTAATCTTTCCTCTCTCCTCTTTGTTTTCCAAAGACAATTGTGTGAAAGAACCCGGGACCGTTCAGGAAGGGGTCGACTTTGACGACAACAGTCACAACTCCCTAGAACCCAGAGGTTGGTGTACAATATATAGTACTCTCTGTGTGTGTGTGTGTGTGTGTGTGTGTGTGTGTGTGTGTGTGTGTGTGTGTGTGTGTGTGTGTGTGTGTGTGTGTGTGTGTGTGTGTGTGTGTGTATGTGTGTGTGTGAATAATATTCCTTAGTTTTGCTTTCATTTAATCATGATTCAAGACATTGCACACTTACACACTTCCTTCAGACATTGAGGTTGAAGTCATGCATTGGGAATTAGAGGGAAATATAGTTACTATAGTTTATATTTGATTGTACACAAATTGAGGATTCAGTTTAGATCCTTAAAAAAACCTGACTAACCCTATTATAATATATAATATATTTTAAAAAACTCAAAAATATTGCGATCATTCATTAATGCAAGTATTTACTTAATAGATTTTAATACATTTAATGTATTTTCATTTATTAGGTATCATCTATATAATATTTTTGAAACAGTAACAACATTACTCAGCTAAGACATTTTGAACACATACTTATTCCGCACATGTATAAGAGGATGTTGATCAAAGGAAGTGTTTCGTGCTAAGCTAACTATTTATATTCATTGTCCGTTCCCCTCAGACGGCATCGGTCACGAGTCTCCAGAGGCGGCTCGACGGGATGTGAACTCTGCGGGCCGACGCCAGACTTCAGTCCTCCTGCTCAGCGCCGCCCTCATTCTGCTGGCGGCCATCTTGTCTTTATAGCGCCCAGGCTGAGGAATCCGCCAGGAATGGACTGTCCTGATTGGACCACAGGCCGCCTTTACCCTGCAACCCCTCCCCTCAAAGGAGCACTTTTTTAAACAAAAAAGAACACTGACAATCTCTCTATGTGAAAAGAGAGAGGAAGGGACTTCCATGTTGAAGCCTTCGATGTTTTTTGACTTGCCAACCAGAGTGATTCATGACTTTCTGCTGCGTGCTGATGGTCAAGGCACCCTGAGGTGAAAGATGCGTACCCTTTCGCCTTGCTACTACTCACAGTATACTGATATTAAAGACAAGCACACATATGATCTCAAAACCACACACACACACACACACACACACACACACACACTACACAATCAGTACACAGCTTGAATGGCAATGAAGCACAGCGGGATCCTTAAAAAGTTTACAGACTTTTTTTTGTGTTCAGGAAAACATCACATAACCCCCCGACATGTATCATGATTATATCTCACGTCAAAATGGAAGATGTTTTCGAGGAAGACCTGGAAGTAACGCATCACCACCATGCTAACGGAAAAAAACAAGAACGATGTTGTTGCTAGGAGATGGTCGCCAAGGGCGCAGGGCGGGACTTTGACGACTCAACCCTCCCTGTTTAAAAGCTGACCCTTGTTGAGAATTAGAACATTTAAAGCAGCACATATCTTTTAGTGTTGGGATAGGGCCGATTTAATGACCGATTAATGTGTTTTGATTTTAATATGTCACCTAATTCAATTGTAGCAGCCAACATGGGTGTACAGTCAAATATTTGAATGGAGCGAAGAAGTGGTTATGGTTTTTTTGCCAGGCAAAATGTATTTTCCTATTTATTGTGAAGTCCTCGTGTTTCTTTTTACTGCTCTGGTTTTAGTCTGTAAGTACAGTAGAAAGGCAATACAGTTACCCATTAAGTTAGTTCATATTACACAGCTTTTTTGATACAATCACTTCAGTTTATGTATCTGTTGGAATTGATCGCTAATTTTTTAACAAAGTCCAGGAAGGAAAAAAAAAGTCTGATGTGCTATCAGGGTGTAGAAAAAAAAAGAAAAAAAAATCGTTGAATATTTGTGTTTCGATTGTCATTAAAAATGTCACCAACGTAGTTTTACTATTAAACCATTGCTTTTGTGAATCACTGTCATGACACGACTGTTGTATATAGAGACAAGTTTCCTACCAAGTTCAGGGATGCGTCCATGACTAATATGAGGTTAAAATAAAAATACACGTTTTTTCTAATCAGGACGGTTACGTCCCGTCCACACTACAGCTTCGACAGCTTCAAAAACGGTTTCCAACGCGTCTGCCCATTCACTTTGAATGGGGTGAAGTCACGTTGCCTCGCTTTTCGCCGAACTGAATTGTGGGTAGCATAGCGGTCCGGAGACGCCGGAGTAGCCAGCGTCAGCCAATCAAATCCCGTTTATGCAAATCTGACAGTTCAAGCGCTAGCCAATCAAACCGCGTGCAAGCTGGGAGAGCCAGACCGCAGTTCATTTCCTCATATTCCAAACCAGAAATTACGGTAGCAAATCAACCGGTTCTTTACGACCAGAACTATTTACCGGGATACAAACCGGAGGAACCAGGCATGGAGGGAGGTGGCAGAGACAGTGGGTAAAACTGGTAGGTTTTTGGCTGTTTGGGGAGTTTATATATATATATATATTGCTCGCATAAAATCCCCGGGGTTTTTTGCTTTGTATGCCGGGGGCGGGACATTCATGTGATTGGTTGTTGGTCGCGGTGCTCGAATAAAATCCCCAAGCTTCAGACACGCCCAGTTCCAAGCTTTTTTTGAAGCTGTAGTGTGGACGGGCCGTTACTCTCCCTCGACTCAAGCAGCACAAGTTTTCTAAGGCGAAAGATGTTAGAGCGAGCGAGTTACAGAGCAGGTGGTGGTTGTTGCATGAAGTGCAGCTGAAAGAAAACACACCAGGGGAACCATCGTAAAATACTTTTTTTAGAATGAAGAAAAGGAAAACCACTGGCAGAGATGGAATATACACAGCATGTGTACCAATATTCAGCGCTAGTGGATCCGAGAGAAAAGAGCAACATGTGAAGAGTTGAAGTGCTAATGCTGAGATCAATAGTCTTGATTTTCAGGAACATGCGGTTGACTTATATTTCCCAAACATCTGGTACTGATTATGGCTGGTAAAGAAACGGTCGCCAATTGCTTTTAGCCCTGTCAACTTAAGGACTAAATTGTAAAAATAAAATCTGCATTTAAAGGGGATTTCCAATGTCTCACACAGTGATGATCACCTTTAATTATTACGTGTCACTCTGCTCCTTAATTTAAAGCAACCCGTTCGTGATCCTTTTTCAATCATCCCGACAAGTACGCTTACAAACCCCCACATCTGCATTTCTCCATATGCCTGCTCACCAAAAGCTTTGCTCTGCACACCAGGGTCCGTGAGCCATGCGTGACCCCGCCTTTATCCTTTCAGCGATGGGCCTTTTACTCCGGACCGGCTCGCGTCTCTGAAGCGTCAAATTCACTTGTGAATGTATATAAATGCCCGTAATCTTATGGACAGATGACCTAACGCATTTCATTTGTTACGGTACTTTGTCTGAACGCGTATACATAAGCTACTTTTTCGTTTTTGTAATTGGAGAGACCGATGGAAGTGATCGCACGTGATCACGTATACTGTGTTAGCTGAACTCACAATATAATTGTTTTCGATTACACGTATTTCTGTTGAAGTTGTGACATTTGATCAAGGCTCGTAATCCTATACCTTATCCAGCAGTCATTACAAACCTGGCAGTATTTTATCATCACGTTGTTGGATTAATGAAAGTGAGCTTTTAAATTGATGAAAGAGAACGTCCCCCTCGCCCAATCTGTCGCCTGAGGCCACCAGATCCAATATCTGCGATCTCTGATAATGACAATACGAGGATATAGAAAGCTTGCCCAACCAGCTTTTCTCCTCTTCACATTTAATTATAATAACCGCCAGGTGAAACCACCCTGCTCCCATGTCGTTTTTTTTAAATGCCTGCCGTTCTTGCTCATTAATACGGAACAATTGAGTATTAGGTTGTGACCTAATGAGAATAAATTGATAATTTCACCAAAGTCATATCATAAAATGTAATTAAAAAAATTACAAGAAATATTCTAGAAAAAGTAATGATACAAAAATAAATAGTTATAATTTTGAGACAATTATAATAATGTTATTTATATAGAGACAGAGATATGACTTTCTATAAAAAAGCTCAGATACTTTCATTGCCTATCTATTCTGTTTCATATATGAAAACATAAAGAACAGAGTGGTGCAGTGATGACGGGTTTTTATAGGCCGACCTGGAAGTTGACCTGGTCTAAAAAAAAAAGCTTATTTTCTGCAATATATCGAAATCCCATTGGATTTTGATATATTGCAGAAAATAAGCTTTGTGGCAAACACATGTTTGTAAGCTTGTGTTAACCACAGACCTTATTTCAGGCACCACAAATGCATTTAACAAACCACTGGACTCATTACTGCACCACTCTATAGACTTATCCCAAATTAAATGTCATAAATTCTGAGCTTGAAGTAGCGGGGTTGGACTGAAAACAGTTCTTTCAGTTTGAAGACATTTTGGCTCACAAGTTTATGGTTTGGAGGAATTTATTTTAAGAAATAAATGAAGTATTTTGAGGGTAGGAATTACTCAGTTTTGGGAGCAAATCTGGGCACACACATTACCACATTATTAGAAATCTCCTCACACCTACGAGTCTCCATGTTTTAAGTCCAACATTCAAAGTCCACTGTAACTGTAAACATTGCCTCGGGCCACGATGAGAAAAACCAACCAGTTAGTTTTGTGGATACTGTGTATCCAACAATTAGTCTGTTGTAACATACAATGTTAGATACTTTCTCTTTTTCACACCTCTTTTGAAGGGCACATTAATGTTCTTAGCAAAAAAAAAAAAATCAATGTTTGATATAAGGAAATGCTTCGTTTCATTTTATATGTCTTTTTTATGAAACAAAAAAAAACAGGATTAACTTTGCACCCCCTCCCCCTCTGTAAATGCGTTAGGGCGAACACGGCACATATCATGCAGTTTGGTTGCGTTATGATCATGGTTTAAAGGGTCTGAAGAAGGATCAGATGGATATCCAAGAACAAAAATATCTCTTTTCCCTCCAAAACACACTTGTTCAATGTATTGTTGCATCAAAAGTGTCTTTAAAGTGCAAGATTTCCTTTGTCTTCTTGTGGTCTTTTGCTAACTTTTGCCTCCAGCTGTGTCCGAGCTAAGCAGCAGTTTCAATCGCCTTGTCGCAGGACTTTGGATTCAAAACCGAAAGTTTGCATTTGTTATGCATTTAGCATTGGAAAGTGTATTTTACGTTAGCCAAGGAAGCACACATTGTTTAATCATTTGACAAAATGTAATAAATGTTCACATAATTTTGTAACTTCCCCGCATTTTGTAATAAGTGATTACATATTGCAAGGGTTATTTCAAGAGATTTTTAGAAGACCTTGCTTTTAACTTCTGCACTGCATTGTGGGGGGTTTGCCCATTATTCCAAAACCCCAATAGTCAGATAAATGTCCCATTGGACCAAAAGCCCATTTGTCCAAAGCCAGACATCCCCATTTTAACAGCCATTGCTCTGAAAGTACACATTGCAAACCAGTGCGATATGTAATAATGTTTTTACAAAGCGGGGAATAAAGATGTGATCATTTTTTTACATTTTGTCATTTTATTACATTTTTTCAAAACCTGTCATGGATGTGCCACAAAAATGCATATATCTTTGACATTGTAGTAAGTGTAACTTGTGCCTATATGACCCCCCCCCACCCTCTCCTGTACTCTTGCAAACTATTCTAATGTCTTTTTTCCTGCTCAATCCCTCACTAGAATTTTCTACAAAAATGCCATTTCTTTGTAAATACACGTGTTGGAGCAGCTATGACTAACTACAACAAACAACTAAAAAAAGGATTTAATAAATATTTCTTTGTCGTTGTAATGATCGTGTCTGATTTGTTTTATTAATCGCAATGCAAATGAGTGACAGTTTGTGAAACGGGATGAACACGAAGAAGGCATGAAGGCAGCGCAGAGTGAGTGTTTGTCTTGGTTGACACTCGATGCATAATCACACAGGCGGAGTCCGGGGGAAGTGGGTGAAACAGCTGTTTCTCTGTAATCTGCCAGTAATTCCCAGCCTGAAAAAACAAAAACAGCTTCAATTAATCTTGCGAGAATGTGCAGCGCTGGATCTCTGCCAGAAAAGCTCCCAATCTTTTCCTCCTCTTCGCTCTGCCTCTCCTGATCTCTTCTTCGATTCCTCACTTTCTGTCTTTCTCTCCATTCTTCTGTCTCTTTGGTGACTTCCCCACCTTTGAACAACATGTCGCTAAGCCTTCCCCATAACGTTCAGAATGTGTGTTTTCTGAACACAATGGGACATCGCCAGGAGAAGGTCATGAACACACTGTTCTTCGGTCCGCTGTGACAACCTGTTTTATTAATTGTGATGCAGGTGCAGCCGAGGTGTGGGAAAGAAAGTGAGCTGCTGAGGGAAATATGTCTCGTCATGGTTCGAACCATGTACTCTTAGTGTTGGACGAAATAGTTTTCAGAACTTTTCACAAGAGACAGGATGATAGAAGATGCTCATAATTGATGCAACAGAGCCTTACATATCCTACATTTTCTTGTCCTCCAAGGAGTCAAACTCCCATTGGATCCTATAACTGTATATTAAATTTCACTAGACCCTCCATGACAAGGAGAAATGCTTCCATACATCATGCTTCCAGTTTACATCTCAGTTATACATTTGTGTTTCCTGAGTCCAGGATGATCAGGTGACATCACAGTGACATGATGAGGGTGTAAACAACATTTTATTCATGTTTATAAAATAAAGAAATGAATGGAGTCTCTCTCTGAATATAACCAATCACACACGGTTGCCTAAAACACACAAATGACAGGATTTTACCTCGTTCCCTCGTTTCAAAGTCAATGGTTTTTTCAACCTGTTTTTGGTTAGAGGCCTAAAATCAGGTCTGTGTTAAACACAAGCTGATAGAGATTTTCACGTTTTGATCTGTGACATAAAATAATGTTGTGCAAGT